GAAAGGTGGTGGATGAATCCAGTGAGGTTGAACAGATAGAAGAACGAAAAAAGTGAGTCTGGCTCACAAGTGACACCTAGATTCTTGTGCTTTACCAGTGGGTACACTTATCACAAGATATCACAAGACTATTCTCAGCGATATGTTCATCACTTCATCAAAAAAAAAAAAAAAACTGAATAAACATTTCAGATATTACAAATTAGTGTCAATGTGTCTTGATTTTTTTCTACCACCTCTTTTTCATCATGGTAGAGATTGCAATAACTTGTACGACTATAAGCTACAAGACATACTTCTTCACATTCTCATAATTATTTGAATGTCTTGCATTTCTTTTCACTGATATTATTTCTTCTTCACTTTCTTTAGGTCTGATTCTGTAAGGCGAGTCGCAGTAGAGCGGGTCATTTAAGAGTAGCACAGACCGAAAGTCACACAGTGAAACTAAATCCATATGATACTAGCTGATTTCCTGAATGAAGTAGGCCTACTAGTTTTAGAGACAGTGGTAGAAAAATGATATGTAGCTGTGGATGGGGATTTGAACCTGTCTGGTCACAGTGTGAGAAACCGAGCTAAAGGACGAAATCAAGACAGCATCACTTTGATAATGATGACCGAAAAAGCCCTGACACCAAACCTCTGTAGTGTCAAATGTCTTGCTTTTGTGAGGCTTTCTGGGTGAAACAACTATTATAGTCCCAGCCCATCACAGTCCTTGTAAACAAGAGTCTTTACTTTGGTTTGCTCCACTATTATTGCCAGATATAAAACAATTTAAGCACAGCCAGACTTTCAGTATACTCATTAAGTAATTCTGGCAATCTTACACATGTCAGATTCATATAAAAAAAAAATCTGAATTTATTATTCATTTTCAGTGCTGAACGAAACATTATACTATATACTATTATACTAAAATGCTGAATGAAATGTCTGTATTTATAATTTTTATTTGTAGAATTTAATCTACTAACCATAAATCTATAGGCAGTTAGCTCATATAATGAAAATGTAACACCTATGTTAGGACAAGAGGACAGAAAGCCACATTCAATTATGCAATTTTTAATATGGGACACATAATTCACAACACTTTGACATTTCTTTTTGATGTTTATAGATGTGGAGTGCACATCTGACAAATTAAGTGACAGCTCGGCTCTAGCACCCTGTGTATATTATCCCATCTAAAGCATTGTGCAGATGAGTAAACATACTGATAAATACAATGAAGCCTTTACAATAAACTTTAGACTGATCAGCCACAGACTCTTGTTTGGTTTATGTTATCCGTGAGTGACTTATGAAACATCAGATGATTTAAATTTGTTGCCTTACCATTGTTTATGAACCACAGGCATTATTATTGTAACAAATGCCATTACAAGCTGCTGCCTGTTGGGCTATATTACTGACAATAAAAGTGACATGGCATTCTACCACTGCCTTTGGCAAATGAGCTGCTATATAGTGTATTCAGTATCATGATCCTTCCATTCAGTAGAAAGTTCTCAAAACGACTTGGTTTTACATCCTGTTTTTTGTTTTTTTACAGCCCCCTTCCCCTCCACAGGTGGCCATAACAACAATCTCGAATACTGGTGTACTCTAAATGTATAATTTACTTAATAGACAGTTATCAATATGATATAGCTGGTTAAAAAAAGTGCATTAACCCGCTTCAATTTTACAACACTGCCTCCTTGTGGCAAGAAGCACACAACGTGGTTTGTTTAAGAATGGATCGCACTTTGAAATAATTAATTGTACTCAAGAAATCATCATCATCAACAACAACAACAATAAATGTATTATTGTAATAATAAAGGGGTTTCCAACATTAAAAAAAAAAAATAAATAAATAAAAATTATAAAGTCCAGACAAGGCTGGAATGGTTAAGTTCTAATTCTTCAAGTTTCGGTATCTAATTACTGCAAACCATTCAAAACCTTTGCTGGATGACATTTTTTTATTGTATGGGACTGTAAATAAATCTTTCTTTCTGTCTGTCGTTAAGAAAAGTCAAATTAATCTTAATACAGACGATACAAATTTTAGCCACCTGTATTTGTGTCCTGCCCCTTTAAATTTCGCCGACCAATCGAGAAAGTCGGCACATCCTTTTCCGTCTCAAGCCACACACTAAACACACAGGCGCTGTATGCTCATCCCCAGGACAACAAAACACTCTGACAGAAACAAAAAACCCCCAAAACAAATTGCTGCAGGTATTCATATTTTAAACAAACACTTATATTCACCTCATTCCCGTGACGATGTGTCTTCGTAGTCAGTTTTCCTCGATTCTTTACAGTCGTCCATCCAATGTTTCTGGTTTAGCTCTGTACTGTTTCCAGGCCTGTACTAACCACACTAACACCATCGTGTACACTTAAAACATTGTGCTATCAGAAAACAGAGATCAGCATCTACATTTAAATATCATGATATTTATGTGCCTTTTAAATGTTTTAGCTAAAATACGTGCGTTTGGAAACTAGACAAGGTAGACGTGTATTACATGGTTATAATAGATTTAAATCTGTTATGTTGTGTATATTTAATAGTGCACCATGGCTCAGGATGGGGTGATACTGCAATTCAACTTTCCCACATTCGGGGACTCCATGCTTCAAAAGATGGATGCTCTTCGTCGAGACAGACGCTTCTGTGATGTTGTGGTCCGCATCAATGACTTGGAAGTGCCTGGACACAAAGTGGTCTTTGCCGCTGGCTCCCCTTTCCTTAGAGACCAGTTTGTCCTTCAGGACTCTCATGAAGTGCAAATATCTACACAGCAGGATGCAGAAGTTGGACAGAGGCTTCTTCTGTCCTGCTACACTGGGACACTGGAGTTCCCGGAGCTGGAATTAGTACACTATTTAACAGTTGCTAGTTTCCTACAGATGGGTCATATTGTTGAGCAGTGCACCGAAGCTCTAAATAAATTCATAAAACCACACGAGGTCAAAGACGAGCGTGCATCATCTCGACAGCGTGGCCAACCAGCTGTGGAGACAGCATGTGATGAAGAGGATGAGGTGGACAATGATGGAGAAGATGACTTTGATGATGAGGATGATGATGATGATGTGATCATACAGCCCAAGTCTCCGCCTGTATTTAGAAACTCTGAGAGCAACAGTAGAGGAGAGGAGAGTCCTATTAGCGTCATTAAGGTGGAGTCAATAGATGAGCGAATGCCCGATAACTTTCAGAGCCGCTCAAGTCGCTCGCCAACACTGCGCTCACCTGAGCCACAACACTCCCTAATAAACTCCACAGTGGAAACCCGGCCCGCCGAAATTGCTGGCAACCCCGCAGCTGAATATTCGCTGTCCCCACCTGGACCCAGTGGCTCTGGGAAAGGGAATCTTTGGGGATGCTCAAGGAATGCCGAGAAGGGTATGCAGTGGTACCACCAGTGCCCGAAATGTGCTCGTGTGTTCCGTCAGCTGGAGAACTACGCCAACCATCTGAAGATGCACAAGCTGTTCATGTGCCTCCTGTGTGGAAAAACATTTACCCAGAAAGGAAACCTGCACCGGCACATGCGTGTCCATGCCGGCATCAAACCCTTCCAATGTAAGATATGTGGAAAGACTTTTACTCAGAAGTGCTCGCTGCTAGACCACCTGAACCTTCACAGTGGGGACAAACCACACCGTTGTAATTACTGCGACATGGTGTTTGCACATAAACCAGTTCTCCGTAAACACCTGAAGCAGATCCATGGAAAAAATAGTTTTGATAATGCCAACGAAGGTAGCTTGCTTGAAGGACTATAAATTCATATTAATGTCTAAATAAATTATATTAATATACATGACGCAGACATAATTCTGTATAACAGTGGTTCTCAACTAGAAGGTCAGGGTCCACCAGGGGGCCTCAGCAAAGTTTCATGAGGGCCCCAGTAAAGGCCCGTTCTCTGTAAGGACGATAATTATAACAATAACAATAAAGATATAGTTTATAAAAATCATTATAAATGTAAACAAATAACTGAGTCCACACCAGTACTATAACAATGATGGCACATTGGAACAATATTGTTGGAATCACTTTCACTATTTTTTTTTTCACAAACTTTTTCATATGATACACGATTAAACATTGACAGCCAATCAGAATCCATTCAGTTTTAAAGAGCACACACATTTAAAGCAGCCGACGACAGGACTGCAGTGCACACATTATTGTGCACTGTGTGGACACTGATATAGTTATCATTATGGTTATCTTTATAGTTATCATTCTTGGTGTTGGGCTTTAAGTGTTAAAATAATTTAAATGTAGTAAATATTAGCAGATAATATTAATTAGATTATATTAATTTAGATTATTTATTGTAAAGAAAGAAGGGCCAGAGGTACATAATATATAGGTACATAAATTCTTGACAATGGGGAATTGGAGGCAAAAAGATTGAGAACCACTGCTGTAAATGAATACACTAAATTACAAGAAGTAATTAATGAAGTGTCCGTTGATTGATAAAAGTCAGGTTTAATGTCATTTTCTTTTTGCATATTGCAGATCAAGGGAAATGTATTGAGTTCATTTTGAATGCTGCTGTGGCATCATTTGGCTGTGTTTTATCTTTTGTAAAGATTAAAATATATTGTTAAAGTATATCTGATCAGACCATATTTCAGTTTTGAATGCTAATGCATAACTTCCTCATTTGCAGACAGCTGTATTTGAAACTACTGTGCAACTCCTGGTCTGTAATAAATGTTTCCATGCTTCCATCTGTGTAAATATGCCAGAATTTTGGAGAAAATTGCTGACTCGCTAATAAATAACTGCAGATACTGCATGAAATGTGCACTTCTTTCTGTTAATGTTCATTATTGCTGTATAAAAATAAAAGATGACATCAAGTGTTAATACATTAAGTATTTCAACATTCAGATAGACTCCAACTATATTTATTTCTTTGCTTTTATGACAAACCACTATGACAGAGCTCTATCATGGCGGCAGAGCGTTACCATGGACACATAGCATGTCGACCTCCGTCCACTGGAAGATTGACACCTGTTATAAATGTTGCTGCATCAGATGCCAGGAAGGCGATAGCATGAGCTACTTCCTCTACTTCACCTGGTCTGCCGAGGGCATGCGTAACCTTGCACTTCTCAAGGAACTGGAGCAAAGCAGAAAACACACGATTTGTTATTCAATTCAAAATTCAATTCAAATTTATTTGTATAGCGCTTTTCACAGTACACATTGTTTCAAAGCAGCTTTACAGAAAATGCATGTGTCTACATTACAATTTAGAGTGCTATCAAGTAGAAACATTCATTACAGTGAAATGTGACCCTGCCTGGACCACAAAACCAGTCTTAAGTCGCTGGGGTATATTTGTAGCTATAAAGAATGAGAATGTGACGTAACGCCGCGTTGAGTTCTGGGAAACTGCTTTGTTTATCCGCCATATTTGCAGGATAGCGCTGCCTTTCCGCTATTGAGTTTAGGGCAGTATTTGATTGTTTGTCGTGATTGT